AGCAGGAATACAGGTGGGCTTTGCATGTTAGTGATGTTGCATTAGTATTTTAGAGCAACTGGTGGAGAATCATCCATTCTATTAATTAATACCATTGATAGTTGATATGCTCCTGAATCACCTAGTAATCAGTATAAAATCATCACAAAGTGCATGCTGATCTTATGATTTCGTGAATCAATATTTATGTCATTCTTCATATGACACAAGCCTTGTTCATCTGGCTTGTCATGTCCAGCACCACTTGCAACATTACCCAGTCAGTTGCTTCAGAAGATACCATTTAAATATATTTTTCATGGCTTGGCTGCTTAAATTATTCTTCCCCTTTTATCTTACTATGAGCCTGAGCTAAATTTCTCCAGAAGCACTGCTAGATAGAAAAATAGGAAGAAAAATCATAAAATAAACTATAATTAACTTATGCATAAGTTATTTTTAACTTATGGAGAAATTTATTTCTATTTACCTTGTTATTTTTTCTCCTAGAAGTACTTTTAGAAAAGTTTGTCCAAACAGATCATTTTTAAATTGAAATTTCCACCTCATATGATATTATTTATATTTTCCTAGAATTGTATAAATGAATAATTTCTCACATTTACATGACTTGTACTTTTTTTTAGTTATGCGCATATAGGATTGTACAATATACATTATTCCCTTCTCTTTATCTTATTTATTAAGAATAGGATGTTCATTTGTTTTTTGGTTGGGATGCTCTTCAAGGTTCTTCTTACTGGTTGATTGGATGTTCTTATAGTTGAGAACCATCCAGGAAGGAAAAGAGTGTCACAAGATGTCAGCAAATTATTCATTTAATCATAGCAAGTCAGTTCGTGCAGATTGTACTAATGATAAAAGATTTTAGTTCAGAAATCTGCAAAGGAAAAAAGATTATTTCAAGGAAGTTAGCAAATATTAATTTAATCATAGTAAATCAATTTTTTTTTAGGTGATTTGATTACCTGAAGTTATAAATATTTTCAGTATAGTTTTTTTTCTTTCTGATTATGGTGTAAAATTTTATTTGCTTTTATTGCCTAATTCATTTGCCTATTCTTCTGCAAATATAATTCAGGACCTTTTAAAGCTTGAAAAACTCCAGGAGGATCTTACAGAAAGATTTGGTGGTCAGCCAACGTTTGCTCAATGGGCTGCAGTGGCAGGGGTAGATCAGAAGACACTTAGGAAACGTTTAAATTATGGTATATGTTGCAAAGACAAAATGATTAAAAGCAATATACGACTTGTCATATCAATTGCTAAGAATTATCAAGGATCTGGGATGAATCTGCAAGATCTTGTCCAGGTATATTCTCACCTGTATTTTTTTTTTCGGCTTAAATAAATAATGATTATTGAAAACATGGCTACTTAAACTGTTCCAGTAATAAACTATTTTACTGTTTCTCATTGGTTTACAGGAAGGATGCCGTGGCCTTGTAAAAGGTGCAGAGAAGTTTGATGGTACCAAGGGTTTTAAATTCTCCACCTATGCTCATTGGTGGATTAAACAGGCTGTTCGGAAATCACTTTCTGATCAGTCAAGAACTATTCGCTTGCCAGTGAGTATCATGTGAAACATTGCAATATTTTTTGGTTATATGAGTTGAAATTTCTCAAATGTCTATAAGTGACTACATTACAATCTTTTTTGGTTTAACAGTTTCACATGGTTGAGGCGACTTACAGAGTGAAGGAGGCCAGAAAACAATTGTATAGTGAAAACGGAAGACAGCCTGATGACGAAGAAGTTGCTGAAGCAACTGGGTTGTCAATGAAGAGGCTTAATGCTGTACTTTTGACCCCGAAAGCTCCCAGATCTCTGGAACAGAAGATTGGGATCAACCAGAATCTTAAACCTTCAGTCTGTCCTAATCTTACTCAAATTTATGCTTCAGAATAAAAACTCATTTCTTTCATATGATGTTCATTTTGCTGATACTTGTGTGTTTTTGACCAGGAAGTAATTGCTGATCCTGATGCCGAAACAACCGAAGAACAGCTCCTTAAACAGTTCATGAAGAAGGACCTGGAAGAGGCACTAGACAGTCTCAATCCAAGAGAGAGGCAGGTGGTAAGATGGAGGTTTGGCATGGATGATGGAAGGACGAAGACCCTACAAGAGATAGGGGAGATGTTGGGTGTGAGTAGGGAGAGAATTAGGCAAATCGAGTCAAGTGCTTTTAAGAAGCTTAAGAACAAGAAGAGAACCAATCATTTGAAGCAGTATTTGATTTCATAACCCTACCAAATATTAATATTAAACCGCTGGATGAGTTAGCTTATTTGATACTTGTGAGGTCCTAATCCCTTTTGATCTTCGTCTGTATGCTTCCTCCATTTTTCCCCATTCTTCAAAAGAGAAGACAAAACGTTATTTTTAGTATACTAGGAAATGGATGTACACACAAAGGAATAACTTTTGCGTAAGAGTCCACCGTTTTTAATGTATGTGAAGTGCTAAAATTGTTTCAGGGAAGTTATCTGCTGGAAAATGATGAATCACCATAGAGATGGATTATTATGAAAAAGTATTACTTTTAGAAAGCTGGTTTAGGAAACGGTAGAAACAAGTAACTAACCACTACAAGCTAATTGGCTAGAATCATTGTGCCCCCTTAACACTTCAAATTCAACGGTGGCAGTTTAGAATTTTGTGGGACGATTGTAACTAGCTGAACTGTGGTAATTTACGGTACGTTTCTTTGCTTTTCGGAGGCACAAGCAAAGTAAAAATGTTGCATGTACAGAGGATAGCCTCGGTCTCTGTAAAATGTAGAGGCACAAGCAAAGTGCATAGTGTTCATTTCTGATGTACTGTATTCTTTAGGGTCCATGTGTTCTTTTTAGATGTTTTAATACTTGAAAATTGTTAAATATTTTAATCCTAAGTTCAAAACTAATTTCTTAAATAGATCTCAACGTTTGAGATAATTGACGTGTGTTTGAATTATAGTTAAAAAGTTAACTTGAACTTAACTTTTTCAAACCAACTTTTAAATGTATTAGGAGTTATTTAAGAAAACTTTGTTATATTACACTCAAAGCATATCCTCGTAGAGAGTAATATTTGTGTAGATGTCTTAGTTAGATTAGGTTCGAAATCTGATACTTTGTTATAAGGGTTAGATGTTTTTCCTATTATGCTTTACCACTTACGATTAACTGATGCGAGTGAGGTTAATTACTTGCGTTTGTAATTTTCATTTTCCTTTCTTTATTTTATCTTCACATTACAAAAAAAAAATATAATCAACTTTTAAATAAAAACAATAATTTTCAAACTTTTAATTCTTTGCAATACACGCTCAATGGAATGAGAATTTTTTTTTTACAAAACATTTAGACACTGCGATTGTAATAAGACTAGTTAAATGAAGTTACAAGTTTCAAATGTGTAATTAAATATAATCTTAATCTTTAACTTTCGGTTCATTGTAAAAATTGAAGCTGTACACTGAATCTGTATTCGGCAGTTAAACAACTGGCTAATTTGAGGAGAGATTTTTTACGTATGTTTTGAATCTGTAAAGAAAAAAGAGTAGCATCGATGGCGTGTGCATGTAATTTATGAATTAATCAAATAGATAGTTGAGTGTATTGGGGGTATGGTAGAGTAGATAACAGAATTGAAACTGCATTGATTATGGCGTGTATGGAAAGAATAATTATTAACAAATCATCAAAGATAGACATGGAAGTAAATGTAGATGGTAATAGCATAGGTAAGTAAAACAAGTGTTAATAAAAGTGGTGGGTCCCATTTACATGGCTTTTGGGTGGAGGAAAGAAATATAAATACAAGAGTGGTGTGGTGCGATGAAGCTAGAAATTGCAATGAAGAAGAGGAGCACTACTAGTTCAGTTTGGGAGGTGAATGCGAATGCGATTGAGAATGGTGTGGATGACTCTCAGCTTCAGCTTCAACCTTCATCTTCTGCTGTTGCTGAGCTGCCTAAAGAGAAACAAGAAGAAACCCTCGTGCCTCCCAATCCCAATCCTAACCCCAATCTCGCCGATGGTTTCTATGAAATCGAAACCATACGCCGTAAGAGGGTTCGCAAGGTAACCACTTTTCTTTTCCTCTATTTACATTCTCTTTTCTTCTCTTCTCACTTTATGCTGAATGTGATTCAATGAATATAGGGCCAGCTCCAGTACCTAATAAAATGGTTAGTTCCCTTTCTTCTTCTACTTTACTTTACTTGTTGAGATAATAACACTGTCATGTGAATGAGGTTATGAAAGGGCATTGTGATTTTCAGGCGTGGATGGCCCGAAACTGCAAACACTTGGGAGCCTCTTCAGAATCTACAGTCTGTTCCTGATCTCATTGATGCTTTTGAGGAAAGGTATATTATACATGCTATTCCCTTCCCCATTACATTTATGAGTTATGCACAATTCCAATATCTTTCATTTTCTAGTCTCAAGTCAGGAAAACACCGCAAGCGCAAGCGCAAGCATGTGGTTCACCACACCCAACTCAAGAAGCGCTTCGAGCGTTCTACCACTGCTTACAGCCTTAGACATTTTCCAACTCCCCTCTCTGCTGACCAAGGACTAACTAATGCTGATCCTACCACCCTTGCAAAACCCCTACTAACTAATGCTGACGAAAATGAATATGATCCAAAGCTCAGTGAACTTAAAGCAACCGCAAACACTGGAGTTGAGGTAGATAACCTTGCAATACATTTCCAGCAACCTAGGGTTTCAACTGCCAATGGTCACGTGGATGGTCAACCCCAGGTGGACTATGTGGAACCAACTCAAAGTGGTCGCTGCAGAGGAGCAAAAAGGAGAAAATCTGGTTCTGTGAAGAGGTTCAAGAGAGAGACAGATCCTTGTAAGCTTGTTGATGCGCAGAATGGAGTCGCCATGCCTGCTGGTGCTGCTTGTATGGGGTATAATAGCCCCATGAAGATGGGTGATGCCAAAACTGCCTGCAATATAGTCAAGATTATAAAGCCAATAGGCTATTCAGCTTCTTTATCTGACAACATGCAAGATGTTTTAGTGACCTTTATGGCTATGAGGTTTGTCACACTACTAACAACTCCAAATTTTATTGTTACGCTTGCACATTTGAGAAGAAAATTATAGTTGTATTTGTTTTCATTATGAGTAAATTTACTTAACTAAATTAATATTTATACATATTTAATTTCAAAGGTTTTGGTTTTCATGGTTTAATTTGTCAATTTTGAAACGAGAATAACAATGTCTTAAATTGGATGTTTTCTCTCAATAATAAGCAATTGGTTCATGAACTTTAAGTAACAAAAACCTCAAACATCTGACAAGTGAATAGAATCAGTAGAATTATTGAAGTATTGAAGTTAGTCATACTTAAAATTTATTCTACATTGCTGAAGGGTTCAATCACTTGTGATGTGACCATAGTTATCAAAACTTCAGAACTGTGTGGGACATGATCCTGCCCGGGTTACTTGTTTGGTGCTATAATGATTAGGTCAATAGTTGGCTTGTTTTTAGGGCTATAAGAATAAGGTTAATGGTATTGATAAATTATTTACTTGAAGCTTCACAAACTAAGGGTGTAACACAAAAACGCTATATTGCATCAGATGACACTCTAATAGCAAGTTCATTCAGAATTGGATGCCGCATATTGCAGCATTCAGAGTATCAAATTGGGGACACTTGGTGTTAAAAAACATTTTAAGCCTCTATTATTTGAGGAAACTGTTTTGCAGTCACCTTGTCATTCTGTTAAAACTGTTTGGTTTAGTAAGAACCTATTTGAGTCAAATAAATGATGTCAAAAGCTGTTATTATATTTTTTCTTTCCTTGGAAATGGTTACTTTGATAAAAACTGAGCTGCTGTGTGCTCATTGGATGATTTTCCTGTGAACCAACAGATTATGCCAGTTGGATTTATCTTATTTCTTGTAATTTCACTTCGACTATGTTAATACTTCAGAATACAAGATGGTCTAATCATGTTGCTTATTAACTAAATTTGGTTATTATGTGAATTTCATAAAAATTCTTTATTAAATCAATTTTCAGACATACATTTTCTTTCTTTATTGCTATCTTTTGGAGAGAGAATGAATGATCTTTGTTCTGTTAATAAATTAGACCAATCACTGATATAGTAATATTTGTATGATCATTTACTTCCTTTGTAGATTAAATTGATAAAACATTTATTTTCAAAATAACGTAGAATGAAATTTTAATGTAGCTTTATTTTTATGACATGAAACTTTCTCTCATAGTGCCTGTAGCATGTGTTTGTTTTTCTCTTTGGTTATTAAAAGGAAGTGCTGTTGATAAAAGGAAATGTAATTAAGAAGCTTTGTTTTTTTCAACTCCTTTCTAAGGGAAAAATAATACAGTTGAAAGAAAGGTTTTAAAGACTATTAAAATCCTTAAAATCTAAACACTAGTGCCTTACATTTTTCTGGTTCATTTACTAGAGGATAGTTTTGGTAGAGATAGAATCTATTTATCTATATGAACAGTTTCTGCTGTATGGTGTGTTTCTCTGTTTTGTAAGGATGATAATTGTTTTCTCATTAATGCTCTTTAGATCCGCCCCCTAACCTCTGTGATGGTTTCCATTGAAGAAACTATGATGCAAACACCATGTGGATGCTATAAAAGGATCCCATCTCATACCAGATCTAAGGGATGATGATTTTTTGAATATTTAAGCAATGCAAACTTGTAATAAGTTGTTGGTGCTAATCCTATTGAGTTCAAGAAACCAAGTCAAAGCCTTAGTTTTAAATAGAATACCAGCTGTCCTCAAAATTATCTGGTGAAAAATGATTTTGGTGCAACATTACTTGCTTTTATGGGAGCTTAGGACTACATTTTCTTATGCAATTTTGTTACTAAATTTGCATATTTTCCAACTCTTTTAGGGAAATTGAAGTGAACTGGATTATTTTTCCATAATCATTCTGCATGCTTCTTCACACATTGCTTAACTGATTAACATAACAGGTCTGATGGAACAGAAGTGATGGTGGATAACAGATATCTCAAGGCATACAATCCACTACTGGTAATCCGCCATCTCTTAGCAATGTTGGATTGAATTGATTATTTCCTTGTCAATTTTACATGGCTTCAACGTCTTTTGAAAATGTTCATATGGTCTCTTTTCACCTGAAAAGCTAACGATTTTCTTAATTTTCCAGCTAATCAATTTCTATGAGTTGCATCTCCGGTATAGTCCTACATCGTGTGACTGAACAGGATAATGAAGGGGCTTCCTTGTAGGTAGAACTTGTGTTGTTGTTAGTGATAACAAGGTAGTTTTGTAGATGCAGTGGATCTTGTAGGGTAATGCTTCTTTTTGTCAGTGTTCGACAAATAACCTTTTAAGACCAATTGTTTTAAATGCCTGCATGACTTCATATTATGACAATCAAGTATTAACATGAACATGAAAACGAAATTGTACTTTAAATATTTGGAAACCTCTTAAATCTGTGTGCGCGCTCTTTTTTAATAACATAACATTGTCCATACCGAGAGTGATTCGTGATGATCTAAATTCTTGTCACATTGTATTGTCCTGTGAGCAAGTGGCCAAGCACATTATATTCTATTGCTAGTTGGCTTCTAGGTGAACAAAGTGGAAATTTGTGAACGGATACACAAGAAATCTAGCCTATTACAACGGGTTAAGTTGTTTTATTTGTAATTCTTTCATAATCTTTTCACGCCTAATTGAGGAAAAATAGCAAAGAATTTTGTTCTACAACAAATGTATTCAAATAAGTCATCGTTCATCTAAATAAGCTACATTTGTTTTTCATGTTTATTTGAATATGGCATCTCATACATGTTTCTTGGGTACGGATTTAATTTTTTTCATTTAATTAATTAAAATAAAAAATTATTAAAAATATTTTTTTTATTTTTTTTATTTTCTTTTTGTTTCCTTTTTACTCTATTTTTTTATTTATTCTCTTTTTTTTTTATATATATATTTTATATTTCACTTGTTTCATTCTATCTTACAAAACATACATAATATAATTTTTTACCTTTTTTTTAATCTATTTCTCTTAAATTAAATAACTAAATTTTTTTTTTAATCTATTTTCACTCACTTATTCCTTTTCTTACAATCTAACACGATGTTAATAACCGCTGTTAATGCGTACGACATGGAGCGTTTTCCCCTTGTGTACTTTTGGACGATTTTGACACGTATCCTACAAATAATGGAGAGAAAGAACACTATGAATGTAGGGACAGATAAGAGAAGTCCAATTAATTAATAGCAAATGCCGGTAATCAGTGCTGCCACAACTGAGCATGATTCTGTTATGTACTTCCTTCGGGTCCTCACAATTTTCTTTCATAAGTTTCATCTGCAATTTTAGTATCTCTGTTGTTTCTATAATTGTGACTTTGCTATACCAAAGTCACAATTGCTCTAGCCCTATGTTTCAGTCGTATTGCTCCATGGTAGAATCAATGGATCAAGTATAAATTTTATATTGAATGTTATACCAAATTATTTGACAGCTACATGTGTCGAAAAGAAAGACAATGAGCACACAGATGACAAATAATAATGGGTAAATTTTATTCTCTCCGTTTTACTTTTAAACAATATTTAGAAATTATACATACCATTTGTGACAAACACTTTCAATGCATAACCTTTTTTTAAACACACTTTATGTCTTTTGTGTTGAAGTTACTTAAGAAGTGGGATAACAATTAATTGAACACACTCTTTCTTGAGGAGAACACCAAAATTAA